TTCTTTCTTTCTTTCTTTCTTTCTTTCTTTCTTTCTTTCTTTCTTTCTCTCTCTCTCTCTCTCTCTCTCTCTTTCTTTCTTTCTTTCTTTCTCTTTCTTTTTGTAATTTTTAGTAGCAGGCCAAGTGCGGTGGCTTATGCCTGTAATCCCAGCACTTTGGGAGGCCGAGGTGGGCGGATCATGAGGTCAGGAGATCGAGACCATCCTGGCCAACATGGTGAAACCCCGTCTTTACTAAAAATAGAAAAAAAATTAGCTGGGTGTGGTGGCATGTGGCTGTAATCCCAGCCACTCGGGAGACTTAGGCAGGAGAATCACTTGAACCAGGGAGTTGGAGGTTGCAGTGAGCCAAAATCACACCACTGCACTCCAACCTGAAAAAAAAAAAATTGTTTTAGTAGTGACTAGTTGCCCAGGCTGATCTTGAACTCCTGGGCTCAAGTGATCTTCTGGCCTCAGCTTCCTGATTAGCTGGACTTCAGGTATGCACTACCATGCCTGGCTAAGATTTAAAAATTTTTAGAGACAGGGTCTTGCTACGTTGCCCAGGCTGGTCTCAAACTCTTGGACACAAGCAGTCCTCTTACCTCAGCCTCGCTGTTGGCTGTGATTACAGCATGAGCCACTATGCCAGGCTTACCCAGTTTTTGAGGGGTAAGGATAAAAACTCCATTTCTTTGTAGGGAGCATTGTTGAAGAATTTGTTTTAAAACCAGCACAGGCTCTTAATCAGTGCTCCTTCTTTTAGCTGCTTTCCCTTGCCACCATCCTACCCAACCACAAGGGAGGCATCTACTGTCATGAGCTCCTGAGCTTTTCTTCCAAGACTTCATTGCTATTTTTTCTCTTCTGTTCTTTTATTTAGGCTTGAAACTTAAAAAAAATCCCTGTCATGTTTGTGGGGTTTCTAGCGACAATAAATTAGACCGTATTTATCTAGAAGTTCTAACGTTGCCCTAACTTTTCACAATGGAACTATCATACACCTCCTCAACTGTTCATCACAACTCAATACATTTAACACCTGATATGATTATCTCGTTGTCTGGAAACAATGCCATCTTATTTCTACCTATAGGTGCCACTGTTGGTTTCAAGCATTTCTGAGATTCAGAATCAAGTACTAGAAGAGGTCCAAAATTTGAATTGTGTGAAAGAAAACAGTGCCACCTTTATTGAGAGGAAACTCAGTTTTGAAAAGAAGAAGCCTGTGCAGATTCTGGTGAGTTTGGCAGCATTCATGACAGTGGTAACTTTCACCTCTTTGCCTTGTCCAAGTCGTATTATCATACTATTTCCCAGATCACTTATCTCATTCTAATATCCTATAATTTATGTATGTGTAGAATTTCTTGTACATTTCTATCCTATATATCATAAGCTCCATAAGATCATGGATTTTTTTTTCTGCTTTGTACATAATATGTCCCTAAAATGCCTAGATGACTAAAATGGTGCTTGTCACAAGGTAGGAGGAACTCAATAAATATTTGTTGAATAAGATTTTATAAAGATAAATCATATAGTCGAGCCCTTTCCTTTTCTACATAAGGCATACCAGGCCCCAGAGATAAGTGGCTTTCTCAAAGTCTCTTAGGGCCCGAGCTGATGGGGGAGTATAAGCCTCTTGATTCTTGTCTAATTTACTGATGATATTTCCCAGATAAAGACATTTACATGTACAATGTACTTAATTCAATATTATTTATCAAGTGCTTAATATGCAAGGGATTGTCTACAGAATGGCAAAGAGTTAAAAATGGTTGTGCAACATCCAAGAGAGATTAGAACCTCTGCCTTCTTATTCTTGTTATTTCTTCTCTACAACACTGCCCTCCTGTGCTTACTAGAGACATTTTTCACTGAATAAGTGAGCTGGGTACTTCACAATAATAACCTGCTCTATGCCTGCACCTTGAAATAATCCTCTAAAAATATATGACTTCTACATTTTAAAAATCTCCAGGGAAAAATTATTTACCAACTCCATGAGGATTTGATTATTTATCTATCTAAACCAAAACTTCTCCTTATTTCTCCCAGCCAGAAATGCCACGTCAAACTGATATTCATCGCTCCAAACTTCTATCCACATATAGTGCAGAGGAACTCTATCAAGCTAAGCGCAAGTGCAATGCTACACAAGAATATGACATCAATCTTCTGGAAGGAGAGTTGGTGGCTGTGATAGAACAGAAAGATCCACTGGGGAGTACAAGCAGGTGGCTTGTGGACACAGGAAGTAAGTTTTTCCCTAGAACTATCACTCTTCTTTAAACTGAGATTTTCTGAGGGACCTCCATGTGCTTCTCTGAGCTCATGTTTGGGAAGAGTATACCCATGAACTTGGTTCTTTCTTTTTATTTCCCATCCAGATGTGAAAGGATATGTTTATTCCTCCTTCCTAAAACCCTACAATCCAGCAAAAATGCAGAAAGTGGATACTGAGAACAGGTTCTGTGATGATGATTTTGAGAACATCAGCCTCTTTGTGTCTTCTCGGCCAGCTAGTGACAGTGTCACAGGCACCTCAGAAAGCAGCATTGGTGATAGCAGCTCATCTCTTAGTGGCACATGTGGAAAGTTTGAAACAAATGGTACTGATGTTGACAGTTTTCAAGAAGTAGACGAACAGGTAAAAATTTGATGTAAAAATATGTGGTTGTTGAAATCATGAAAGTCTCTCTCTACTATGTTACTGTAACACTTGGTGGAAAAGGGTCAGCTCTGACATCAAGGAGACCTGGCTCTATTAGCACATACTTCCAGTGGATCTTTTTGCAAGGAGTTTAATTCCCTGAGCCTGTTTCCTTAAATAAAGCAAAGGATTGGAGATAAAGTGTGTATGTAAAGTAGCCAACACAAAGTAGATACACAATAAATAGGAGCTATTACTATTACTACCCTGCTGTTACATACTTAAAGCAAAGTGTCTTTTTATACTCCCCCATCAAAAAAAAGCAGTTCAATACTGAACAGATTGCTGCCATCAATAGCATGTGGGAAATCGTCCATGATTCCTCTAAGAGCAATATCTTCATTGAGCTATCTAGTAATTGGCCATTTTAATCTCATGTATAATGCCACACACTATATGCTGAAACTTTTTCTTTCTTTCTTTTTTGTTGTTGTTGTTGTTGTTGAGATGGAGTCTTGCTCTGTTGCCCAGGCTGGAGTCCAGTGGCACGATCTCAGCTCACTGCAACCTCCACTTCCCAGGTTCAAGCAATCCGGAGTAGCTGGGACTACGGGCACGTGTCACCATGCCCGGCTAATTTTCATATTTTTAGTAGAGACGGGGTTTCACCATATTGGTCAGGCTGTTCTATACTGAAACTTTTAAGAGCTGTATTTCCCTCACTGCACTAATGCAAAGGCTACTGGTACAATCTTTTTGCAAAATGGTATGTTCGTTATAGTGCCGGGTTTGTTTTTGCTATATCAGAAAGTTTCAGTATACTTAACTGTTCATTCCCCAGTGGTGACCATCTAACTAATTCCTTTATTTATTTACCTTACTTTTTATTTAGTGTTATATTAATAATTTATTTAAATTTATTTTTGTAGAGGTTATGTATATGTGTATGTATATGTGTAGATAGATAGAGAAGTTAAAATGTAGAAAAGCATACATAACTTAAAAGTAAGCTGGGCTTGGAGGCTCATGCCTGTAATCCCAGCATTTTGTGAGGCTGAGGTGGGAGGATTGCTTGAGCTGAGTTTGAGACCAGCCTGGGTAACATAGTGAGACCTCATCTCTACTAAAAATCAAAAAAATTAGCCAAGGATGATTGCCCGCATCTGTAGTCCCAGCTACTGGAGAGGCTGGGGTAGGAAAATCGCACAAGCCAGGGAGGTCGAGGCTGCAGTGAGCCATGATCATGCCATCACACTCCAGCCTGGGCAACAGAGGGAGATCCTGTCTTTAAAAATAACAATAATTTTAAAAAGTAAAGTTTTTAGTCCTCCTCCCCCTGTCCTACTCTTCAGAGACAATGCTTGGATATATCCTTTGTATATTCTGTGCATATACAAACACGTTTATACCAGTGGGAAACATATCATATATGGTATATTATAGGGTTTTTTTTTTTCATTTAACAATATATCTTAGACACAATTAAACCTAAATAGCTATCTTATTCCTTAAAACGTTCAACACAGCATTTAATTTTGTGGATATATTATAACTTATGTAACTATCACCCTAATAATAGATATGTAGAATGTTTTGGGCTTTTAAAAAATTCAAACAATATTTCAAGGAAGGGCCTTGTCCATCTATTTTTGTACATTTATATGAGTATATAAGTGTAAAACAAATTCCTAAAATATTAGAGGGTCAAAGGTATATACATTTAAAGTCTTTATAGACATTGCCATGCTGACCTCCAAAAGTATGGTATCTATTCAGTTTCTTTCATTAACAGTTACTGATTGCTGTCCAATTCATGACACTTTTTTTTTTTTTTGGTTTGGTGTTTTTTTTTTTTTTTTCCAAAAGCAGCTTATCAATATCTTATATTCATATCACATAATTCATCCATTTTAAGTGTACAATTCATGACTTTTAGTATATATTACAAAGTTGTGCAAGTTTAGTATATTTACAAAGTTGTGCAACCATCACTTTAATCCAATTTTAAAACATTTCTTTCATTCCAAAAAATCATTTGCACCCATTTGTAGTCCCTCCTCTTTCCCACCCCAACCCCAAAGAAACACTAACCTATTTTCTGTCTCCATAGATTTGCCTTTTCTGTATCTTTTGTATAAACAAAATTGTACAATACGTGATGTTTTACAGCTACTTTTTTTCACTTAGCAAAATGTATTGAGTCTTCCATGTTGTCGTATGTATATGTACTTTGTTGCTTTCTATTGCCTACTATTATTCCATTCTGTGGATATATTTTGTTAATCCACTCACCTTCTAGTTTGGGTAACTTCTAGTTTGGGGCTATTATGAATTACGCTGCTATGAATATTTGTGTGCAAGTCTTTGTGTGAATTTAATTTCCCTTGAGTAGACACTCCGAAGTGTAATTCCTTATTGGTTTTATTTAAATTTTTAAGAAACTGCCAAACTGTTATCCAAAGTGGCCTCACCACTTTACTTTTCTACCAGCAAAGTATGAGGGTTACGGGTTGCAGTTTCTTCACATGCTTGTCAACACTAGTTATTATTTGTCTTTTTAATGAGACCCATCTTGTGGGTATGAGGTGGTATCTCTTTGGGGTTTTAGTGTACATTTCCCTAAAAATTAATGCTATTGAACATTTTTTCATGTGCTCATTTGCCATTCTTTTATTTCCTTTGGTGAATGTCTATTCAAATATTTGCCTGTTAAAAAAAAAAACTGGGTCATTTTCCTTCTTATTTTCCCATTGTAAAAATTCTTTATAAACCTGAGTGCAAGTTTTATTTTTTTTTAAATCAGATATATAATTTGCAAATATTTTCTCCTGGTTATAACTGACTCTTAACTTGTCTGGGCATTACTATGTGTTCTTACTGCCCTTCTCTCTTGAAGTTTCAAAACACTCTTTCTCTATTACTTGTTCACTCTGTGGTTTATTCAGTTTCTAAAAGACATATTACAATGCTAACTAATGCATTTTTATCAGTGAAATCTATGTACCTGATTAAATGTCCTGTCAGACTTTGCCTTGTCTCAATAACCTAGATGGACAGAAATCTGAGAGCCAAATTTATCAACACACTCTAAAGCTGGCTTGATGTTGAGTTCTAGTTCTTACTTGGCTCTACAGGGACTTTGGACTAAGCACCTCACATAGACTCTTTCTGCCTGGTGTTCGTAGTATGAGACTGCATTTAGTTCCTACTAGCTGGTACTTCAAAGCAATTTTCTGCAAGCAATCCTATCAATATATATAATGTGAATTAGGTCCATTAGAGATTTCCATTACCAAGAGAAGAAAAAAATGAGATAGTATTTCAAAACAAAAAATATATTAATGGCATCTCTTCATAAATTGTTATTTACTTTCTTTTTCCTCTGAGTTTGGCACCAATTCAAAATAGGCATAGCATCAGGAATATAAATATAAGCATGTATAAGCATTATTACTAGTAAAACGGGATTGAAGATGCATCTTGGATCTGTAGCACATGGAATCCCTGATACTTTCCCTCAGAGTAGAAATTACCCAACTCAAATTGAAGGTGAACCCGGTGCATGGACAAAGTCTGTCCCAATAAACTTACTGCAAGATGAGGAAGAGGATGCACCTGTTGGAAACTTCAGTACAAGGAAGAAAAGAAGAAAAGGCTGCATAGAGATACCTCCCTTAATGTCTTAACTCCAGTCAATAGACGCACATAGGCCAGTGGTTTCCAGACTCCCCCTGTAATGCATAATGCATAATATTTCATTGAAAACAGAGAGAAAGGATTATATTTTGTTCCTAATTCTTGCCCCAGGGCTGATGTTTCCATTCTGTTGGCTTTTAGAAGTTGTGGGGAGAAGAAAATGATTAACCTCTGTATTTGTGGTGTGATAGTATAAGTCAATACAGTATAGAGGTCCCTGTAATGTGATTGAAAGTGGAAGAAAATTATATCTTCTTTACCAACAATGAGAATACAGTACATGTTGTAACATTTCACATTTGCGGTATCCTACAAAGCAGTTTTCTGGGTGGCTATTTAGACTTTTGTTCTTGATTTTATTTTATTATCAGGAACATCAGCGGAAACTTGTACTGGCTTAATTGGATGCCACTTTTGGTTATCATTTATTTCCCTTTCCCTTCCTACTGTGGTAGCATGTTTTTTGATTTCCTCCAGAATTGCTATAGCATGTTGCCAAGGGGTGTTGTAGGATGTAGTCTGGTTTTATTGATGGTTCTAGTGGACCCTGACACAAAGGACAGGTGGCCTCTACCTCATACTCAGGGGGTATCTTCAGGGCCCTAAAGATCATTCAAATATAGGCAATTTCAAACTAATTTAGATTCTAGTGGCTCCATGATTTTTATACCAGAGCTGAATTTTTAACCTGAATGCGAGGACCTGAAGTGGTCTATGAATGAGTTTTGGGAGGATTTCATGAATCTCCTCAAATACGTTGGAAATATTGTGCTTATTTGCATACATACACATCTATGATAAAATAAGTCTACCTTTTTAAACAGACTTTTAAAAGAAATTTTTATCTAAAATGTTAGAAATCACTGCTGTAGAAGTTTAACTTGCTTATCCATTCTCCACCTCAAGAAAGAAGAGAGACTGCTATAAAAAAGTTCCCCCAAAATTATGTTCTGGAGCCTTTGTTGAATAATGGGGATGAGTGACTGGATATTCACAACCTGGCGGTACCGATTTATACCAAGGATCTTAATTTTTAAGTTCTTCATTCTGTTGTTTTGCTATATCAAAGAATATAACAAAAGCATTCAAGTAGATATGCCTTCCCATTCTAAGGTATTCTCTCCTTTTGTCCATCAAATAGCAATGGCCTGCTCTGCATTAGTGTTCCATGCTGCATAACAGATTACCACAAACCTGGTGGCTTAAAACAATACAAACATATTTCTTAGGGGCTGTTGTCAGGAGTCCAAGCACGGTTTAGCTGGGTGCCCTGCTTAACATCTCATGTAGCTGAAATATAG